GCCCGCGCCTGCCGGCACGCCGATGCGGAGGGTGGAGACGCCATTGTACAGCGGAAAGTACAGGAGCCAGCGAGTCGGGTGGACGGCGCCCGCGGTGCCGGGCGGCTGGAGTGCTGCGAGCTGCTGGCACACGTGCGTGGCGCTCGGCGCGGTCGTGCCGACCCACCTCCACGTGCCGCTCGCCGGGTCCTGCGCCCACAGGTCAGCGCCCGACACGCCGGTCGCGGGCATATGCACCATGCCGAGCGACTCGTGGGTCAGGTTGTACTCGACGTAGATGGAGCGGACCGCCGCGTCCGTCTCGAATGCGACGGCAAATCCGGCGGTCTGCAGCGAGAGGTCCCAGATGCTGCTGCGCACCACGCCCTCTGCAGCAGCGGGCAAACGGTGGTATGGGAATCGCTTGACCGGGTCGGCGTCAAAGTGGCTGTTGACGAGCGTCAGGCTGTGCGCCTCGACAAAGTCGATTTTGGTCACATTGGGCGCCGGGCATGGCGTGCCAAAGGTCAGTGGTGCGGCAGCAGCAGCGACGAGCATCGGCAGTGCATCATGATCGGACGAGCGTCGAGTGTGAGCGTGAACTGTGGTCCTCTCCAGGCCGCGCCTTACCTGGTCACACACGCTTTTAGAGGCTTGTATCTTAAGGTGGCAGTCCGGGTTCTCTCTCCGGGTTCTGTGAAGAGGGTCGCTCGTCGAATGCGAGCCAGTTCGCTCGCGACGCCGACGCCGACGCCGCCGCCGGAACGACCGCGGCGGCCGGTCGAGCGGCCGCCCCGGCCAGCGGCCGTATCGAGCCTGCCCGTCGCGAAGGTGCGGACCTCACGCGCCCCACCGGCCGCCCGCGCCGCCGCGCCCACGTCGCTCTCTCGAAGCCCAGCGCCACGCCGCTACGACTCCCATCGCGACGACTCCCGTGCTCGCTCGTGGCGCAGGCGATCGACTCCTGACACCCATCGAGCGGATGGGCGCGTTCCCGCCGCGACCCGGTACTCTCGAACGACTTTTGAGGGCAAAAGGTGCCGCCCGAGCCCATTCCCGCCGCCCGCCGCCCGAGATCAGCTGCCACCGGCCAGCGCGCGCGCGGAGACCTGCCGCGAGCGCCTCCGTGGCCCTAGCTGGGGTGATTAGCAAGCGCCTCGGCACTTTAGATTCGCCCCTCGGGCTTTTCCGCGCGCGTGATCAGTCTCGCGTTCTCTCCTTTTTCAGGCGCCTGTTTTCGGCCTCTGAAGAGCAACCGTCGAGGCGTCGATGCTCGCCTCCACGCCCGCGCCAGACCTCCGCGATTGGGGCGCCTTGTCGACGGGATCAATTGTGATTCCGGGCGTATTTTTCTGGTATCTTACTCGCACGTCGGCGACTCTTAGTCGCTTCTCCGTGCTAGGAGGCCTCTGTTTTGTGTCCGTGAGGACTAGATCGAAACTAACATTCGGGAACATTTCAGTAAGATATCAGAAAAATGCGCGTTCGTTCACAATTCATGTGTATATGAACGGTGCCGACGGGTTTGGCGAGCATCGAAGCCGTCCAGGCGCAGCAACGCGACGGTTTCGGAGGCCGACGGCTCCGAAAGAGCCTCCCGAGCGAGGCCGGCGCGGTCACGGTACCGTGGAGGCCACAGACGTCGCCGGAGCGGCACTCCCGGGGCGCCACTCCCTCACCCGGTCAGGGGGGTGCCAACCACAGCCCGCCTCACCGTCCGTGGAGCTTCCGTGGTCCGCCGCTTCGGCTTCGATTTTTCGACCCTCCCGAGGCTGCTAGAGCAGCCCCGCGGAGCCTCCCGGATGCATCGGCACACCGTCGTCCAGGATGACGGCGCACGCGCTGCCCAGTGACTGGGCGGGTCGGCCCCGACTAGGGGCGGGCCCAGCCGCGCGGAGAAGGCCAGCGAGCTCGAAACACGTCGCCGCGGCCGGCCGTTTCGCAAGCCTGAGCGGGTCGCCAGACACCCGCGAGAGCCAGCAGCTAGAGCGCCGTCGTAGCCGCAGATCGAGTCGAGGAGCTTGATGTCCACGGTAGCAGTTGTGGAGAGCGGTGGCACGGTGCGTGTAGACGCGTCAATTGAGGGCTCCCTTTCGAAACGCGACGGGTACGGCTTGACAACTGCCAGCACAGTTTTACGCCGGCCAGCGTGAGAGCACAACAGGGAGCCGGCGACCCGTACGCTTTGCGCGTGGCGACTGGTGGCTGTCTGGAGCTCGTGTGAGCTGGGCCGACGCGTGGCCGAGCCGAGAGGACCAGCGAGCGACCACGTTGGCGATGAAGCTTGGCGGCCGGCGCCTCGTCGCCAGACGTCACAGCGGCGTGGACGTAGGAGTGTGCGGCGACGGTTACCGGCAAATCCGGCCCAGTGTGGCCGGCAGCTGCCTAGCGCTGGCCTGTGGCCGGCGCCGCGGTGGCGGAGAAGGCGTCTCGCCGCCGTGGCGGCGGTCGGCAGGTGCGAGCGTGATGCCATCTTGCGGGACGACACCCGTCTCGCAAAACCCGGACTGCCACCTTAAGGTGGTTCTTGAGAGTGATCTGTGATCTGTGAGGGTCCGCCCGCAGGCGCATTTTGTATACCGAGGCGGTGCCCGGTGCCGAACCTGTCGGACCTTGAGACAGCGTTGTAGATCCCTGGGCGAGGGTGGTGGAGAGGGCGGTCCGTCGGCGCCAAACCACCTCCCACCGAGGCGGGCAGGTTCCACGCGTTCCCGGACCGCCCCGTCGGAGGTAGACCGCTCGTCTAGCCAATCAGCCTTAAGCGAGCGGCCTGGCCGTTGGAATGGCCGAGGAGGGGAGGACGACTGTCTCTGACGGCGAACCTCAGTTACAAGCCGTCCTCCCCTCGAGACGCGAGGCCAGCGCACTCGGGGACCGAGCCCCAGCGTGCACCGTCCCACACGCCTCACGCGGCCTCTGGCTGGAGCGGGATCGCAAGCGAATCCCCCAGGCCGGCGCGCGTCTTCCGAGAGAGGAGCAGGAGCGAGGGACCTTCTTAGTTGTCCGGCATGCAGGCGCATGCACGGCCGTTCAGAAATTTTCCCAGCCGTTGGAATGGCTCCGCTCCTGCCCCTCACCGGGCTGCATTGAGGACCTGGGATCATAATAGATACGGGCGATAAA